CTAACCTAAATCTAAATCCTAAACCCAAACCTGAATCCTAATATCTAAACTCAAACAAAAACCCAAGGTAAACTGTGAACCTGACAATATAAATCTGAATTCTTAAACTCAAAACCAAGTCCAAGTCAGCAACGGCAATTACCATCCTAACTCTAATTTACATGTTATCCATAACCTCTAATCCCAAACTAAACCAAAATACGGTGCCCAAACCTGAACCTGAAACCCTAACCACAATTTGTACTAGACAGAACCTGACTCAAATTTCTAAACCCTGAACGAACCTGAGCTCCTAAACTTTAAAACCAAGCTGAGTCAGAGCTCGAGCCCTAGCCTTAACCCAACCCAAAGTCCACCCTGAACCCCAATATCAACTCCGACTCCAACCCTTACTCCAACACAGTGCCAGACCCAGCTCCAGACAGAGCCTGAACCCAGAACCGAACATAAACTGAACACAAACCTGAACCGAACTTCAAACCCGTCTCCAACCCAGAACCAGTTTCCAACCACGTCTCCTGTACCAACCCAAACCCCTAACTCAACCCGAACCTGAACTCTGAACCCAAAGCATAACTTGATCATGAATCCTAAACATTAAACCCAAACTCTAATCCAGAGTTGAACTGTGAAGTGAAGCCAAAACCCTAACCCGAATGCCTAAACCCTAAAATTAAGCCTGAGTCAGAGACTGAGCCTAGGTGTGAACTGGAACTGCAATCAAAACCTGAAACGAACTCTGAACCAAAATCTAACTTAATTCCAACCCAAAACCTAACCCTAACCATGGATACTCTGTCAGTGTAATAAAAAAAAAAAAAAAAAAAAAACCAAGCAGTTGCCATGGAGTAAGATTCCAACTCATTGCGATCCTACAGGACAGAGCAGAACTGCCTGTAGGGTTTCCAAGGCTGTAATTTTTACAGCACAGCCTGCCACATCTTTCTCCTGTGGAGTGGGTAATGGGTTTGAACTGCTGACCTTTTGGTTAGCAGCGGAGTGCTTAACCACTGCACCACCAGGATTCCTCCTCAGTAAGCTGGGGCAATTGCAGGGCTTACCTCTCTTGGGTATTATTGTACTTTGTTGCTTGATATCCAGTGTCTTGAAAACTGTAGTTTATATATTTTGTCTGTTGTTTTTTGCTTATTTCGGGCAGGAGGGTAAATACAGTCTGTTACGCTATCTTGACCAGAAGGGAAAGCCTGTAAGAAGTACTCTTGGATTTAATATTACTTCTTTATGCATGAGAATTTTTAATGTTCTCTTTATGATTTTCTAAACTTAAGACGAAGAACAGCCATATGACCATGGAGGCAGGCACAGCTACAAGGCGAGGAACACCAAGAAATGCTTGGGGCTACCAGAAGCTGACCCCACACCTCTGTTGTCTGTCATATTGTGGCAGCTTGCATGTTGCTGTGATGCTGGAAGATATGCCAACGGTACTTCAAATACCAGCAGGGTCACCCACGGTAGACAGGTTACAGCAGAGCTTCCAGACTAAGAGTAGGAAGGAGGACCTGGCAGTGTACTTCTGAAAAAGAAGTAGCCAGTGAGAACCTTATGAATAGCAGCAGAATACTATCTGCTATAGTGCCAGAAGATAAGCCCCTCAGGTTGGAAGGCACTCAAAGAAATACAATTAGGGAAGAGCTGCCTCCTCAAAGTAGAGTCGACCTTAATGACGTGGACAGAGTCAAGCTTTCGAGACCTTCATCTGCTGATGTGGCACGACTCAAAACGAGAAGAAAAAGCTGCAAACATCCATCAATAATCGGAACGTGGAATGTACGAAGTATGAATCTAGCAAAGTCGGAAATTGTAAAGAAAAGAAATGGACTGCATAGAGATCGATATCCTAGGCATTAGTGACCTGAAATGGACTGGTATTGGCCATTTTGAATCAGACAATCATACGGTTTACTATGTCGGGAATGACAAACTGAAGAGGAATGGCGTTGCACTCATCGTCAAAGAGAACGTTTCAAGCTCCATCCTGAAGTACAACGCTGTCAGTGATAGGATACTATCCATACGCCTACAAGGAAGACCAGTTAATACGACTATTATTCAAATTTACCCATCAACCACCAAGACCAAAGATGAAGAAATTGAAGATTTTTACCAACTTCCACAACCTGAAATTGATCGAACATGCAATCAGGATGCCTTGATAATTACTGGTGATTGGAACGTGAAAGCTGGAAACAAAGCAGAAGGATCAGTAGTTGAAAAATATGGCCTTGGTGACAGAAACAATGCTGGAGATCGCATGATAGAATTTTGCAAGACCAACAACTCGTTCATTGCAAATACCTTTTTCAACAACATAAACAGCGACTATACACGTGGACCTCGCTGGATGAATATTCAGGAATCAAATGGACTACATCTGTGGAAAGAGATGATGAAAAAAGCTCAATACCAGAACAAGGCCAGGGCCCAACTGCTGAACACACCATCAACTGCTCACATGCAAGTTCAAGTTGAAACTGAAGAAAATTAGAACAAGCCCATGAGGGCCAAAGTATGACCTTGAATATATCCCACCTGAATTCAGAGACCATCCCAAGAATAAATTTGATGCACTGAATGCTTGACTGAAGACCAGAGGAGTTGTGGAATGACATCAAGGACATCATACATGAAGAAAGCAAGAGGTCATTGAAAACAAAGGAAAAGAAAGAAAAGACCAAAATGGCTATCAAAGAGACTCTGAAACTTGCTCTTGAACGTAGAGTAGCTAAAGCAACAGGAAGAAATGATGAAGTAAAAGAGCTGAATAGAAGATTTCAAAGGGCGGCTCCAGAAGACAAAGTAACGTATTATAATGACATGTGCAAAGAGCTGGAGATAGAAAACCAAAAGGGAAGAACACCCGCGGCATTTCTCAAGCTGCAAGAACTGAAGAAAAAATTCAAGCCTCAAGTTGTAGTAGTGAAGGATTCTATGGGCAAAAAATTGAATGACTCAGGTAGCATCAAAAGAAGATGGAAGGAATACAGAGTCACTGTACCAAAAAGAATTGGTCGACATTCAACCATTTCAGGAGGTAGCATATGATCAGGAATCGATGGTACTGAAGGAATAGGTCCAGGCTGCACTGAAGGCACTGGTGAAAAACAAGGCTCCAGGAATTGACGGAATACCAGTTGAGATGTTTCAACAAAGAAGTGCTCACTCGTCTATGCCAAGAAATTTGGAAGACAGCTACCTGGCCAAACAACTGGAAGAGATTCATATTTGTGCCCATTCCAAAGAAAGGAGATACAACTGAATGTGGAAATTATCAAACAATATAATTAATACCATACACAAGTAAAATCCAAACGCAGTTGAAGCAGTACCTGGACAGGAAACTGCCAGAAATTCAAGCTGGATTCAGAAGAGGACGTGGAACCAGGGATATCATTGCTGATGTCAGATGGATCTTGGCTGGAAGCAGAGAATACCAGAAGGATGTTGACCTGTGTTTTATTGACTATGCAAAGGCATTCAACTGTGTGGATCATAACAAATTACGGATAACATTGCGAAGAACAGGAATTCCAGAACCCTTAATGTTCTGGAACCTCTACGCAGACCAAGAGGCAGTCGTTCGAACAGAACAAGGGGATACTGCGTGCTTTAAAGTCAGGAAGGGTGTGCGTCAGGGTTGTGTCCTTTCACCATACCTATTCAGTCTGTATGCTGAGCAAATAATCTGAGAAGCTGGACTATATGAAGAAGAATGGGGCATCAGGATTGGAGGAAGACTCATTAACAACCTGCAATGTGAAGATGACAGAACCTTGCTTGCTGAAAGTGAAGAAGACTTGAAGCACTTACTGGTGAAGACCAAAGACCACAGCCTTTAGTATGGATTACACCTCAACATGAAGAAAGCAAAAATCCTCACAACTGGACCAATAAACAACATCATGATAAGTGGAGAAAAGACTGAAGTTGTCAAGGATTTCCTTTTACTTAGATCCACAATCAACACCCATGGAAGCAGAAGTCAAGAATTCAAAAGACGCATTGCACTGGGCAAATCTGCTGCAAAAGACCTCTCTAAAGTGTTAAAAAAGCAGAGTTGTCCCTTTGAGAACTAAGGTGGGCCTGACCCAAGCCATGGTATTTTCAATCACCTCATATGCATTCGAAAGCTGGACAATGAATAAGGAAGACTGAAGAAGAATGGTATGGTGTTGGTGAAGAATACTGAATATATAATGGGCTGCCAGAAGAACGAACAGGTCTATCTTGGAAGAAGTACAGTCAGAATGCTCCTTAGAAGTGAGGATGGCGAGACTCGTCTCATGTACTACGGACATACTATCAGGAGGGACCAGTCCCTGGAGAAGGACATCATGCTTGGTAGAGAGTCAGTGAAAAGCAGAAGACTCTCACTGAGATGGATTGATACAGTGGCTGCAACAATGGGCTCAAACGTAACAAAGATTGTGAGGATGACGCAGGACCGGGCATGTTTCGTTCTGTTGTACACAGGGTTGCTATGAGTCGCAACTGTCTCGACAGCACCTAACAACAAGTCTTTTACATATTTGATCTTTGCCACTTTTTTTCAGTTTAGCTAAACCTGTTTGCTACAACCAATTGTTCTCTACTGCTGCCTCATGCCTTCCTTTGAACCATCTCTTTCAGAACCTTAGATTTTTCAAATTTTTGTTCACTTAGCTGTCAATTCCTGGAGTTCTTTTTCTGTTTTATCTAAACCAGTATTTCAGGATGACTGTTGTGGAGGCTGTGTGCTCATTCCAGAATCACTCAGTTCAGCATGGCCTACATATTTTATTTCTTCCTCACTCTTCTGTGTCTTCCAGTTTTGAAGAAAACATAGCCTGAGACTGTGCTATGGATCTTTACTGAAAGGTTTCGGGTTACACTTCTTAATGTATTTTCAGCCTAAGTAAACTCTTTCATTCTGGAAACTATGGCAGAATGTCATCAGAAGAAACTAAGATTCCAGAAAGGACTTCTAAACAAGCAACTCATTGTATTAGTCTTAAGTTTTATTAATGTCCTCAGTTTGTGCATTATTTAAAACAAAACCTGTGCTTTCAAAAGCATTTTTATACATAAATAGAACAAGGAACAGTAATTGATCCCTAAAACATGCACATCAGTTTTATTCAGGTGTGTATAAGAAAGGCAAACGAGCTTTAAGCCTTTTTCTTTGGATAAAAGACATCTGGAAATTTTTATTCAGGAGTGCCAAATGTTTTTCTGAAACAAATGTGTTTTCCAATAGGAAATGCTGATTCAACTAAAATGCGTTAGTGTTGATAAAGAGGTCTGGAAGAAATGTTTGTGCTATGCATGATCAACGGGAAAAGAATTTCAGTGGTCCTAAGATATTTTTCAAATACATGAATCAGGTAGCAGGAACTGAAAGGTTTAGCTGGAAGAACAGGCACCATGAGCCAGATTATGTGGTACATCTATAGTCAAGGCACACGACCAGGCCAAACAGGCTGCTAGGTCCTACAGACTAATTTATTCTCTCACTGGGAAAACGGTCAAATGCAATATAATTTCCATTGAATGGCACTTACTGATAAATAAATGCAATCAGATCTAGGGCAGCAAATATCTTCCTTTCAGATACACACCAAAAACACATGCTTATAACAGATGCCAGAGTAGCCTAAGCAGTATGATTACAGACCAGTTTTCTTAGACTGCAGTTAAATGAATGGTAAACAATTTTGTATCGTTCCTATACATCATACTGTCTACTCTCTTTCATGTTTCACAAGGGAAATCTTCAAAACTAGGCAGATTAAAGAACTGATTACACCACAAAGGATGCTCACAACTATTATTCAACAGCAGTCAAACCCGAACGCTGGACTTGATGGTTGACTGTACTCAGTTTGTGGCCTCTCCCGGAATGGAGATTTTTTCCCAGACTACCTCCCTTCATACAGCTAAATGTGAGCACACCCACTGTGGTTCTCTTCTTTTTCTTTGGTGAGCCAGAGCAATTTGTCTCCCTACCCCCTTCACTACCCATTCTATGAACAATACAGTTGCCCTAAACATCCACAGAATAAAAAGGAATATAAAAAACACAACCTTCAACAATATTTAAACCATCATCTTCTCATATTAACTGCAATGTGGAAACAGAAGATATAAAACCAGTCATTGTGTTGTGAATGGTCAGCATATTGAACTTTGTTCCTGAATGTGAATACTAGGAGGACAAGGATATTTGTGTGTGCTTCTAAATGGGCTAGCAAAATGTTCCCCATGTGACTGAAATAAAATGTTTAATACTTTACCGGTCTGGGCTCCTAGAAACAAGCAGCACCAACAATCTGATTATAATTCCCAAGATAAGAACTATTCTCCGTTTATACTGTTTTGAAGCACCTAATAACTCTTAAACAACAACAGGCATTATGATGAGATGTTAGTAATACTATCTGTCTCTGGAATACTTTTGTGTGCACATACAAAATTCCTCCTTAACCCTAGTAGACAACTCATAAGACTGGTGATTTTCACCTTCTTGATTGCTTTGTGCAATTAAAAACAAAAATGTTTCCCTAAGTAGACAATACTAGTTACACAAACCAAAGAAACAAACGTAGCCTTTTTAAGGCTACTGCTGCAATGATAGTTCAATCTGAAGTGCACTGGGATAAACTGGTTGATGGAACAGAGATAAATCCGGAGGTATAGAATAACAGTAAAAAAATGAGACAGTGAGAAGAGCGTCGAAGAGACCGACAGATACCACCTGTCAGCAGCAAAGACTTGAGTCACATGGATTACTTTTAACTCCTTGTTCTCTCCTATCCTTGGTTAATAACTTTTTCGTTCTTATTTCTTTATACAGCTTGGCCATGTAAATCCACCACAGGCAGGAGACACAATGATATAGATGAACACCTGGAAGGAGGGGGGAAGCAGAATGGAGGCTATATGAGCAACTCTTACTGAGGCATTATTAACCATCATAAAGATTTACAAGTTACCTTCAAACTATGACTTTATTATCGACTGTTTTGTGCGGGCATTTTGTATGTAGATACATTTTTCATTATTAGAGTGATAATATATGAAAAAGCATGAGTAGGGACCCTGCATCTTGCAAGACTGTTGCCATGAACTTTTCAGTGGATAAAGACACAATAATTCTGACTACAAATCAAAGGAAAACTGATGATGCAAGTAACACTGCAAACCGCTAGTTCTATTATAAATAACGTGGTAGCTTTTTCAGTTCTATTATTGTAATTTTAAATTATATTTTTTTAAATAGTATATACTTGCTTACATTATTACATTCCAAAAAGTAGATTCATTTAAACATTAAACATTCATTTCAAACAGTGAACATCAGGTTCGCTGCAACAGTCATTTAATTTTGCTTTAAACTACAATTTCTGGAGATTTTTTAAAGTAATTGATTTCATTAAGCACATTCTTGGGGGAAAAAACAGTTATGAATTTCATGCCCCTCCAAGGGAAAAAAAAAAGTCAGTATTTTGTCTTCCCCATAAATGTTGGGGGTGGTTTATTTATACCAAATTCTGGGAATTAATGGACAGGTTAAACTACCCACATTATACTCATATATATACACGCACACGCGTGCACACACACACACACACACACACACTCAACAAATGTAAAGTTTACCAACGTGATAAAAAGTTGACTGTTACAGCTGAAATATAAGAACTTTTCAAGCTGAAGCACAAATCTATTGGCAAATATTGATATTGTATTTAGAATATTGTTCTGCATATAATAAGCAATCCATAAACATATTCTGAATTTAACAAAAATTCAGCTTCATAAATAAATTCCCAGACCAAAAGAGAAGCAAGAAGTTAAGCTCAGGAGCCTACAATGTGCCATCTGAGGATCCTGAGCAAGGGAAACGTTTAAGGCCATAGAAACTGTTTCCAATATAAAACTTATGTATCTCCAACTGCTCTTCTCTGTCAGAAGTGAAGGACCTGCTCTGAGGGACTCTGAGCAACCAACCAGTGGGGGTTGAGGAGAGGTGGAGCAGAGTTTGAGGTATTTGCTTGGAGATAACTTTGGGCTTCTGCCAACGACAAAGAGGATGGGGAAGAAAGGCAGCTTTGCTCAGCCACAAACTATCCCCAGAGGAAAGCCTTTTTGAAAGCATTTTCCCCCCTCTTAGCTAGCAGTTCTCAAATTTTTGGTCTCAAGACCTTTTTACACTCTAAAAAAATTACTGAGGACCCCAAAGAACTCCTGTTCAGGTGGGTTATAATTATCAATCTTTACCATCTTCGAAATTAAAATGGAAAAGAATTAATATGTATTTAATTCACTTGAAAGTAATGATAATAAACCCATTACATATATAAAAAGAAATACTATTTTTTTTTAAAATAACTATATTTTTGTGATGTTCAGTTTTATGTGTCAACTTGGCTAGGCTACAGTCTCCAGTTATTCAGTCAAACACTAATCTAGGTGTTGCTGTAAGGGTATTTCATAGATGTGATTAAAGCCCATAATCAGTTGACTTTAAGATTACCCTAGAAAACCTGGGTGGTTCAGAGTTAATCAGCTGAAAGGCCTTAAGAACAAAACTGAGGTTTCTCAGAGGAAGAAGAAATTCCCGCCCTACAGTTCTGGCCTGTCGTTCCCGACCAGCTGCTTTCAGACTTGCCTAGGCAGTCCCTACAATTGCATAAGCCAATTCCTTGCAATAAATCTCAATACATTATCTCCTACTGGTTCTGTTTCTCTGGTTGAACCCAGATGAACACAATTTTCAATAAAAAAAATTAGTGAGAAGATTGGCATTGTTTACCATTTTTGCAAATCTCTTTAATGTCTAGTTTAATAGAAGACAGCTGGATTCTCATATCTGCTTCTGCATTCAGTCTGTTATGCTACATTACTTTGGCTGAACAAAATTTGGTCTCAAATTTAGAAGAGAGGTAAGTATTTTTAATAGCCTTTTCAGGTATCATTCCTTGATATTAGACTTGTTGTTGCTGTTAGGTGTTATCGAGTCAGCTCTGACTCACAGGGACCCCAGGTACAACAGAAAGAAACACTGCCCAGTCCTGTGCCATCCTCACAATTGTTGCCATGCTTCAGCCCATTGTTGCAGCCACTGCGTCAATCCATCTCTTTAAGGGACTTCTTTTTCACTGACCCTGTACCTTACCAAGCATGATGTCCTTCTCCAGGGACTGATCCCTCTTGATAACATGTCCAAAGTATGTGAGACATACTCTCACCATCCTGGCTTCTAAGGAGCATTCTGGTTGTACTTCTTCCAAGACAGATTTGCTCCTTCTTTTGGCAGTCCATGGTATATTCAATATTCTTCTCCAGCATCACAATTCAAAGGCATCCATTCTTCTTCAGTCTTCCTTATTCGTCGTCCAGCCCTCACATGCATATGAGGCAATTGAAAACACCATGGCTTGGGTAAGGCGCGCCTTAGTCTTCAAGGTGACATCTTTGCTTTTCAACACTTTAAAGAGATCTTTCCCGGCAGATGCGCCCAATACAATGCGTCATTTGATTTCTTGACTACTGCTTCCATGGGTGTTGATTGTGGATCCCAAGAAAAATGAAATCCTTGACAACTTCAATCTTTTCTCCGTTTATCATGATGTTGCTTATTGGTCCAGTTGTGAGGATTTTTGTTTTCTTCATGTTGAGGTGTAATCCATACTGAAGGCTGTGGTCTTTGATCTTCATCAGTTAGTGCTTCGAGTCTTCTTCACTTTCAGCAAGCAAGGTTCTGTCATCTGCATATTGCAGGTTGTTAATGAGTCTTCCTCCAATCCTGATGCCCCATTCTTCTTCATATAGTCCAGCTTCTCGGATTATTTGCTCAGCATACAGACTGAATAGGTATGATGAAAGGACACAACCCTGACGCACACCCTTCCTGACTTTAAACCACGCAATATCCCCTTGTTCTGTTCGAACGACTGCCTCTTGATCTATGTACAGGTTTCTCATGAGCACAATTAAGTGTTCTCGAATTCCCATTCTTCACAACGTTATCCATAATTTGTTATGATCCACACAGTCGAATGCCTTTGCATAGTCAATAAACACAGGTCAACATCTTTCTGGTATTCTCTGCTTTCAGCCAGGATCCATCCGATATCAGCAGTGATATCGCTGGTTCTAAGTCCTCTTCTGAATCCAGCCTGAATTTCTGGCAGTTTCCTGTCGATACACTGCTGCAGCTGCTTTTGAATGATCTTCAGCAAAATTTTACTTGTATGTGATACTGATAATGTTCAGTAATTTCCGCCTTCGGCTGGATCACCCTTCTTTGGAATGGGGATAAATATGGATCGCTTCCAGTCGGTTGGCCAGGCAGCTGTCTTCCAAATTTCTTGGCATAGACGAGTGAGCACTTCCAGCACTGCATCTGTTTGCTGAAACATCTCAACTGGTATTCCATCAATTCCTGGAGCCTTGTCTTTCGCCAATGCCTTCAGTGCAGCTTGGACTTCTTCCTTCAGTACCATCGGTTCCTGATCAGACGCTACCTCCTGAAATGGTTGAACGTCAACCAATTCTTTTTGGTATAGTGACTCTGTATTCCTTTCATCTTCCTTTGATGCTTCCTGCATCGTTTTAGTATTTTCCCGGTAGAATCCTTCACTACTGCAACTCGAGTCTTGAATTTTTTCTTCGGTTCTTTCAGCTTGAGAAATACCAAGCGTGTTCTTCCTTTGTGGTTTTCTATCTCCAGGTCAATGCACATGTCATTATAATACTTTACTCTGTCTCCTTTAGCTGCCCTTTGAAATCTTCTGTTCAGTTCTTTTACTTCATCATTTCTTCCTTTGCTTTAGGTACTCAACATTCAAGAGCAAGTTTCAGAGTCTCTTCTGACATCCATTTTGGTCTTTTCTTTCTTTCTTGTCTTTTTAATGACCTCTTGCTTTCTTCATGTATGATGTCCTTGATGTCATTCCACAACTCGTCTAGTCTTCAGTCATTTGTGTTCCATGCATCAAATCTATTTTCGACATGGTCTCTAAATTCAGGTGACTCAAGGTCATACTTTGGCTCTCGTGGACTTGTTCTAATTTTCTTCAGTTACAACTTGAACTTGCATATGAGCAATTAATGGTCTGTTCCACAGTCAGCCCCGGCCTTGTTCTCACTGATGACATTGAGCTTTTCCATAGTCTCTTTCCACAGATGTGGTCGATTTGATTCCTGTGTATTCCATCCGGCGAGGTCCACGTGTATAGTGACCATTTATGTTGCTGAAAAAGGTATTTGCAATGAAGACGTCATTGGTCTTGTAAAATTCTATCCTGCGATCTCCAGCATCGCTTCTATCACCAAGGCCATATTTTCCAACTACCAATCCTTCTTTGTTTCCAACTTTCGCATTCCAATCTCCAATAATTATCAACACATCCTGATTGCATGTTTGATCAATTTCAGACTGCAGAAGTTGGTAAAAATCTTCAATTTCTTCATCTTTGGCCTTAGCGGTTGATGTGTAAATTTGAGTAACAGTTGTATTAACTAGTCCTCCTTCTAGGCGTATAGATATTATCCTATTACTGACAGCGTTGTACTTCAGGATACATCCTGAAATGTTCTTCTTGACGGCAAATGCAACATCATTCCTCTTCAAGTTGCCATTCTCAGCAGTAGACCATGACTGTCCGATTCAAAACGGCCAATACCAGTCCATTTCAGCTCACTAATGCCTAGGATACTGATGTTTATGCGTTCCATTTAATTTTTGACGATTTCCAATCTTCCCAGATTCAGACTTCGTACATTCCACATTCCAATTATTAATGGATGTTTGCACCTGTTTCTTCTCATTTTGAGTCGTGCAACATCAGCAAATGAAGGTCCCGAAAGCTTTACTCCATCCACGTCATTAAGGTCGACTCTACTTTGAGGAGGCAGCTCTTCCCTAGTCATATTTTGAGTGCTTTCCAACCTGAGGGGCTCATCTTCTGGCGCTATATCAGACAATGTTCTGCTGCTATTCATAAGGTTTTCCCTTGCTCATTCTTTTCAGAAGTAGACTGCTGGGTCCTTCTTCCTAGTCTGTCTTAGTCTGGAAGCTCAGCTGAAACCTGTCCTCCATGGGTGACCCTGCTGGTATTTGAATACCGGTAGCATAGCTTCCAGCATCAAAGCAACACGCAAGCCCCCATAGTACGACAAACTGACAGACATGTGAGGGGATGTTAGACTACAACTCAACAAATGGTAGTTTCTTTAGCTATAATATCTGAAACCACATCAATGCAATAGACTTTTTGAACTCAGTTATATTAAAATACACCCTCTATCTTGCACTTTAAAGGAGCTCTGGTGGTACAACGGTTAAGTATTCAGCTGACAGCCAAAAGGTTGGCAGTTGAAACCCACCCAGGGTTCTGTGGGAGAAAGACCTGGCAATCTGCTCTTGTAAAGATTACAGCCTAGAAAACCCTACGGGGTATAGTTCTACTCTGTTGTAAGTCGAAACTGACTCAACGGCACACAACAACAACACCAACATCTTGCACTTTAAGTGGCTCTTTTCCTGTGCAAGACTTCGTATCATCATGGGGTGGTCATCTGGAAAACACTGATTCATTAAAAGTTATGCCAATCTTCCAAATGCTGATACATTTCATTACACAATATCACGAAAATCACATTCTTTAATATCACCATCAATCTCATCAGTAAAGTCTTTAAGATTTGGGAAGTGGTGAAGTTCCCAATATTGAAAACAAATTTTCCAAATCGCCACTTCTTGCCTGCAAGCTTGAATTTTATTATTGGCTACAACCAGTGCCAGTTTTTCCTTGAAGTGACTGAATTTGTTCATTTCTGAGAAAATGTCTGCCTGATAACCAAGTCTGAAAACGCACACTTCGTTATTCTTTCAAGTGACAATGATGCTCCATGAAAAAAGCCCTCAGAACTCAAACAATTGTACGATTGTTTTCCCTCGAGATTTAACAAAGACTTTTTACTGCTTCATCAAGGACATCCTTAAACGAAACTGGCATTTTCTTTTACTGTGAGTGTGTGTGATAAAGAAGTACAATTTGGTGTCACTGCCTTGATTCACTCTAAGGTGCCCAAGTTTTACCTACCACTACTTTTGCACGATCAGTGTAAATGTCAACACTGTGACAAAGAAAATCATGTCTCTGTATTAAGAAAAATAGTACTGACTTCATGAATCCTCTGACAGGATCTTAGGAACCCCCATAGGTTCACAGATCACACTTTGAAAACCACTGCCTTAGATCATTATGGAGATTCCCAGCTAGTCTGACCTGTTTCCCATCCAGAAAGCATGAAGGGAAACGCTCCAAGTTCCCTATAGAGCCCCACAGTCACGTCCCCTGATTTATGTTAATATTAGTAAATCGAATGTATTACGTATTAAAAGAATACCACATAATGACCTATTAGGATTTATCCCAGTAATAAAGGATACTTCATCATAAATACATTTGTTAATGTACTCCAATACATTAATATTAAAGGTTAGTTAATGTACTCTAATACATTAATATTAAAGGTTAATAGTCACATTATCAATTCAATGGATACAGGAATATCATCTTCTAAAATTCAATACCCATTCCTGATAAAAACTGTTAGTAATCTAGCATTAAAAGTAAAACTTATTAAGTTGACAATACAAATCTAACAAGAATTCATATTGTAAATATCATTTTTAAAAATGAAATATTAGAAGCATTCCCACTGAAGTCAAGAACTGGGTAAAAATGCCCACCGATACCACAGTTATTCCACATTGTTAGTAAATACAAAATATATATATAATTCGGTAAGATAAAATTATTAACGGGTGATATAATGTACCTGGAGGAGGGGTCAGTAGACTACAGCCTGTGGCCTGTGAGCTAAGAATGGTTTTTACGTTTTTAAAGGTTTGTTTAAAAAAGAATAATATTGTGACAGAAACCATATGTGGCCCAAAGCATAAAATATTTATTATCTGGCCCTTTACAGAACATATACTGACCCTGACCTACAGTATACATAAGAATCAACTGATAAATTATTAGATCTAATAAGACAGTTATTTCAAGGTCACAAGATAGAAAATGTATTAGAAAATAAAAAGACAGAAAATAGAATCTATTAGAAAATGGAAATAGAATATATACAATCAATTGTGGAGTTTAAACACAGATATTTCATAGTGACTTCAGAGGAAAGCTACTGCCTAGTCATGTGCTTCACCATTAACAGATATATATAGTTCATTTCATACCACTAATCAATGAGATCAATAGTTGATTTTTTTAAAGATGGAAAAAAGAAAACACGCATTAAAAGGCCAAAAACTTACAATTGATACAATGATGATGATAATAGTGAGCTTGAGATTCTTCATACACATGGCTCGGGCAAGATTTCTGCTGGTTGTTTTGAAGGTGACAGACTAGAAACAAAGAACGAATTGTTTGATCCCTGGCATTGACTCAATGATTCATTTGCAGTAACACTTTGCCAAAATTTCACTTTCATTAATTCTCTTTAAGTACCAGTGTTCTTTGTCCCTGCCCTCTCTTCACAAGTAGAAACTGGCCATTCATAATCACGAGTTCTCAAAAGCAAGACTCTTCCCGAACTGTCATAAGTAGTATGAGCCTACCAAAAGGGCTTCCTTCTTTTTTGTCCTCTGCTGGTGGCACAGGGGTTAAAGCACTCAGTTGCTAACCAAAAGGTTGGTGGTTCAAACCCATCAGCCCCTCTGCAGGAGAAAGATGTGGCAGTTTGCTTCCATAAAGATTTACAGCCTTGGAAACCCTACTGGGCAGTTCTACTCCATCCTATAGGGTTGCTAGGAGTTGGAATTAACTCGACAGCAGTGGGTTTGGTTATTTTTTGTTTTACTGTGGCAAGGCACCTGATGCCAAACGCCAGAAGTGGTTCTCCCTGCCAGTGGAGACGCCTTTTCTTCTTTTCACTTTCAACACGAAAGGCTATTAAGTCTATTGGCTGCAAACACATGTGCCTGTTCTGCCCAGTATATTTCTGAGATTTTGAACCATAAAAACTTGTTTGGAATATATAGGGAGAAATGTATTTATTTGTGTCAGGGTCAAAAACCATAAAACTTCATTCCTTCATTTCATTCCTTATTCATTTCCTTTTGCATCATAAAATTTTCAGTATCTACTGAATCATTCCCACCAGGACACAAACAGCTTAAAACAAACAAGAAAACTCCTTTATAGCCCAGTAATTCCACTCCTAGGTATATCCAACAGAAATGCATATACAAATTCACCAAAAGACACATACAAAAATGTTTCTAACAGAACTATTCATCTTACCTCAAAACTAAAAACTACCCAAATACTCATCAACGGTAGAATGTATACGCAAACTGTGGTATATTCACACGGTGGAATACTATACAGCACTGAGAACACTCTACCACTACACACAAAAATGCAGATGACTCTCACAAACAATAACTGTGAGCAAATGAAGCTTGACACAAATAGAGCACATCCTATACCTTCAGTAATACGGTGTGAAAAGTTAGTACAATGGTTACCCTTGTAAGGGAGTAGTGACAAGAAGAGGGCAGAAGGTGGGTTTCTGGGGTGCTGGTCAAATTCTAGGTTTAATCTGGGTGTTGGTTCCATGGACACTGTGATGGTTACTCCTATGTGTCAACTTGGCTAGGCTATGATTCTCTGGTTTGGCAGACATTGCTCTTCCATAATATAATATAATCACCTCCATGATGTGATCTGGTGTGATTATACAATCAGATGAAAGAGGAGTTTCCTTGGGGGTCTGGCCTGTCTCCAGTATATAAATGGATGTTATGGCAGAGCTCTCTCCTTCTCTCGACCCTGCACTCTTCTCGTTGCCTGACTGCTGGATCTTGGGACATAAGCCTGTAGAAGTCTCCGGCCTGCTGCCTGACCTGCAGATTTTGGATTCGCTAACTCCTGCAACCACGTGTGCCTGACCCACAAATTTGGCACTTGCCAGCCCCCCTAATTGCACAAGCCATTTCCTCACAATTGCGGGAGCCATTTCCTTGAAGTAAATCTCTCTATATATATTTATATATACACTTCACTGGTTTTGGTCCTCTAGAGAACCTAGACCACGACAGGCATGTTGACTTTTTGAAAATACACAAAACTATACACTTGAGATTGATGCACTTTTCTGTATGTATGTTCTACCTAAATAAATTGTTTTTTTAAAAAAAAAACACTCCCTTAGAGACTGGAACACTTATACACTGTTGGTGAGAATGTAAAATGGTACAACCACTTTGGAAATCGATCTGGCGCTTCCTTAAAAAGCAAGAAACAGAAGTACCATACGATCCAGCTATCCTGCTCCTTGGAATATATCCTAGAGAAATAAGATCCGTCACACGAATAGATATATGCACACCCATGTTCACTGCACCACTGTTCACAATAGCAAAAAGATGGAAACAACCTAGCTGCCCATCAACGGATGACTGGATAAACAAATTATAGTATATCCACACAATGGAATACTACGCAATGATAAAGAACAACGATGAAGCCATGAAACATCTTATAACATGGAGGAAGCTGGAGGTCATTATGCTGAGTGAATTTAGTCAGTCACAGAGGGACAAATATTGTATAAGACCACTATTATAAGAACTCAAGAAAAGGTTTAAACACAGAAGAAAACATTCTTTGATGGTTACAAGGGTGGGGAGGGAGGTAGAGGGGTATTCACTAACTAGATAGTAGACAAGAATTATCTTAGGTGAAGGGAAGGACAGCACACACTACAGGGGAAGTCAGCACAACTGGACTAAACCAAAGCTAAAGTTTCCTGAATACAACCAAATACTTTGAAGGACAGAGTAGCAGGGGCAGGGGTCTGGGGACCATGCTTTCAGGGGACATCTAGGTCAACTGGCATAACAAAGTTTGTTAAGAAAATGTTCTGCATCCTACTTTGGTGAGTGGCATCTGGGGTCTTAAAAGCTAGCACATGGCCATCTAAGATACATTGATTGGTCCCAACCACCTGGAGTAAAGGAGAATGAAGAACGCCAGAGTCACAAGGAAAGTATTAACCCAAGAGACAGAAAGGGCCACATAAACCAGAGACACCATCAGCCTGAGACCAGAAGAACTAGATGGTGCCCGGCTACCACCAATGACCGCCCTGACAGGGAACACAACAGAGACTCCCTGATGGAGCAGGAGAAAAGACGGGGTGCAGAACTCAAATTCTAGTAAAAAGATCAGACTTACTTAATGGTCTCACTGAGACTGGAGGGACCCTGGAAGACACAGACCCCGGACTCTCTGTCAACCAAGAACTAAAACAATTCCCGAGGCCAACTCTTCAGACAAAGATTGGACTGGACTGTGGGACATAAAATGATACTGGGGAAGAGTGTGCTTCTTAGCTCAAGTAGATACATGAGACTAAATGGGCAACTCCTGTCTGGAGGTGAGATGAGAAGGCAGAAAGGGTTAGGAGCTGGTTGAATAGACATGGGAAATCAGGGGTGGAAAGAAGGAGTGTGCTGTCACAGTATAGGGAGAGCAATTAGGGTTACATAACAATGTATGTATAAATTTCTGTATGAGACTGATTTGAATTGTAAACGTTCACTTAAATTACAATTAAAAAAAAAAAACACTCCCTTCACTGCACATTCATCTCCAGCCACCTTCACAAGTATCTCGAATGGAGTGGCTGGCCCCTGAGTTTCACTTGATGCAGACAACCAGGATACTATGTGAAAGGGGCGGGGGGGTAAAGGTGTTACTTGAGAAAGAAAAACTGAACGTGGTCCTAACTTCTAAGTGAGTATATACTAAATACCAAAACTGATTATATTTAGCCCTAAATATACACATTGGATAAGTCATACGAGGAGAACCAGAGGCTAAAAAGGAGGAAAAAAGGCTAAGCAATGAGAGCAAATAGCTCTTTAATGAAATAAAAGTAACACAGTGTGATGGTTAAGATTGTGTGTCAACTTGGCTGGGCCATGATTCTCAGTGTTTTAATGTAATCACTCCCATGATTGAATATACCATGAGTAGCCAATCAGATGAAAGGGAGTCTCCTTGGGGGTGTGGCCCGAATCTGTATATAAGCAGACGTTCTGGCTTTTTGCTCTCTCTGGATCCTGTGGCTGCCTCCTGTCATCTCATCTCCCGTTCTTGAGACTTGAGCTGTCAGCTTATCTGCCGAACCTGGGATTCGTCGATCTGCACAGCCTGTGAGCAGGAGCCCTGCTCTCTGACCTGCCGATCTTGGGCTTGCCAGCTTCTGCGGCTGGGTGACTTGGGAGAGGCCTCTATCCTGATCCACGGACTTGGGATTTTCTAGCCTCTACAATCGCGTGAGCTGTTTCCTTGATATAATCTCTCTCTATATATATATGTATTTATACACTTTACTGGTTTTGCTTCTCTAGAGAGCCCAGCCTAAGACACACAGTAAACAAGAGAATACTAAAAAAAATCTAACAAGTATCCTTGGATACAAGACATCATTGCACTGATTTAAAATAACGTCATAAGTTAAGTGACATGAATAAGGAAAAATTACAGAAGAGAACACAATATTTCACAAGATAGATACAGTTAAAAATATGACTGGCGTACTTAAAAAAACTATAAATATCACAGAACTATATGTGCTATTTATAAACAGAACATAAATAGCTGCAAGCAGATTCTATGTGAACTTGAAAAATTCTCCCAGAAAAAAGAGCAAAATATCTAGGATGGAAATTATGAAAGCAAGCCTCAGATACATGGAAAACTGACCAAGCAAATCCAGGACTGATTTATACAATCAACAAATATTTAACAAGTGTCTACTACGTACCTGCTGCTGATTTAGGTATATACTAGCAGTTGCAGGGCAGAAGACAGCCAAAAGAGAAGAATTAAGAATCAAATCAATATTTGAACACTGAAAAAAAATCACCTGTTTCATACCAGTTAGGCTATAAAGAACAAGTGTTACACCTTCACAAAGCATCCCTTGGGGCTGTGTGTTGGGCGGGGGCATAAGGGGAAGAGCATAAGAAAAAGATTTAAAAAAAAAATCCCTGTGAGAATGACAAAGGCAAGCTGCCCAGCCTGATGGCATCTTTGATCCATGCTGACAGTTTCATGTATATGTTCCTGTCAGGAGCCATGGGGGACTTGTGAGTCCTATACTTCTGTAGTGGACTGAATGGTGGCCCCGAAGATATGTTTATGTCCTAATCCCTAAAACCTGTGAATGTGACCATATATGGAAAAAGGGTCTCTATAGATGTGATTAAGGATCTTGAGATGAGATCATTCTGGATTATCCAAGTGAACCCTAAATGCCATTACAAGTGTCCTTATAAAAGAGAGACAAAGGGCGATTTGACTATACACAGAAGAGGAGAAGGTGATGTGAAGATGGAGGCAGAGATAGGAGGATGTGGCCACAAGCCCAGGAATGCCTGGAGCCACCAGCAACTGGAGAAGCCAAGGAAGATCCTCCTCCAGAGACAGCACAACCATAATGACACCTTGATTTTGGACTTCCTGTCTCCAGCACTGCTTGGGCAAGTGTTACAAGGCTCTTTACCTCCACTAATAAGTGTCCAGAGGCACCCTACTCCACCAGTAAGGCTCTGCATGAAGGCACTCAGCTTTCTTGCTCCATGGGCTGGGAGGCCCACCGCACCATCTCCTGCCGGTCGCCTGCTTCTGCTGCTTCTGCTGCCATTTCCCTGCTGCTGCTTCTCGCCATCTCCGAGGTTACAGCTCTGTCTCCTGGGTCTAGGGGGTTCTTAGCACAGGGGCCCGGGTCCAAAGGACACACTGTACTCCCAGCTCTTCTTTCTTGGTGGTAGTGAGGTCCCTTCCCTGTCCGCCTCTGGTATGGCTCATTTTAAGCCTAGTGGGTTGGCAAAACTGACCAACCCCCTCGTTAGGATTCCATAAACCTTATTTGCATGCTCCCACCCCCACAAGGGTTTCATGCACCTTATTTGCATTATTATCAAGCTGTCCAATTCCCGTGGTGGGCCACAAACACCTTATTTGCGTAGTCTCACCCAATCATTTGGTGGGAGTTACAAGACCATGGCTAGAAAGGCCATATGAAAGTGATCCATCACACTGCACATTGTTTGGGACATAGCAAAGGACTATTTTGAGATAGGCTATAATAAATTAAGAATGTATATTGTAATCTCTAACCACTAAAATTACAAAAGGCTACAACTAAAAAAACAATAGAGGCAATAAAATGAAATAATTTTTTAAATACTTGAGTGATCAAAGAAAGGAAAAGAGGAACAAAGTGGATGGGGCAAATAAGAAGCAAAGAACGAGACAGCATATTTAAATCCAACTCTACCAGTATTTACATGGTATGTAAATGTAATAAATACTTTAATTATAAATATACTGCGTATGTTCAAAAAGGTAGAGGAAGCATGCAAATGTCAAGGAGACACGTGGAAAATATAAAAAAAGATCCAAATCAAACTTGCAGAGACAAAAAATAACAAGCTTATTCTAAAACATAAATGGGAATACAAAGGACCTAAAATAGTTAAGACAATTTTGGAGAAGAACATAGTTGGAAGACTTACACTACCTAACTTCAAGAATTACTATAAAGCTACGGTAACCAAGATTGTATTGTACTGACATAAGGATAGACAAATAGATCAGTGGAACAAAATAGAGAATTCAGAAATAAAGCCACAGAGAATAGATAAACACATTTGGTAGGTATATTCATACAATGGAACAGCGCAAATCAATAAAAAAGAAAAAAACTATTATAACATTCAACAACATGGATGAATCTCACCAGGATAATGGTGAGAGAAAGATGCTAGACACAAACGAGTACATATGATTCCATTTCTATAAATTTCAAGAATAGGAAAAACATACTTATGGTGATATAACTCAGAAAAATGGTTACCTCTGTTGGGGATTATTAAATAGAAGGGGACTGGAAATTTTTTTATATCTTGATCTGGGTGGTGCTTACACGGTATATATGTAGGTAAAAATAATTGAGTTGTACACTTAAAGGCAATACACTTCATATATTTTACTGTACGTATGTTATTACTGAATAAAGAGAGGAACCTGTTTATTCATCAGTACCTTTTGCTATTCTGGATTATGCAGTCAACAAAATAAGATGACTTTCATTTGGGAAATACAGACTATACTAGTACTGGTCAGACACAGACCATTCCAGCTAAATAGGGTAATCTTCAGGGATTAAGAATAGTTAAGAGATGGGCTGGAAGTACCAAATGAATTGGTCCGCAGAGCTTGAACCAGATACTTCTTTGCCACCCTGGCAATAGGTCATAAAGTGAGCTCTAGAACCTCTGTATAGTGCAACCTTTATGCCAATTACCACATACTTTGATGAAAAAACTATTTACTAAACCACTACAACATCCAGTATTTTGCTCATTCTCCTAAAACCTGTTGTTACAATGGCATTCGACTGCGTGGATCATAACAAATTATGGATAACGTTGTGAACTGGAATTCCAGAACACTTAAGTTTGCTCATAAGGAACCTGTACATAGATCAAGAGGCAGCCATTCAAGCAGAACAAGGGGAAACTGTGTGGTTTAAGGTCAGGAAAGGTGTGTGTCAGGGTTGTATCCTTAAACCATACTTATTCAACCTGTATGCTGAGCAAATAATCTGAGAAGCTAGACTATAAGAATGGGGCATCAGGATTGGAGGAAGATTGACTAACAACCTGTGATATGCAGACGACACAACCTTGATTGCTGAAAGTAAAGAGGACTTGAAGCACTTGCTGATGAAGATCAAGGACTACAGCCTTCAGTACGGATTACACCTCAACACAAAACAAAAATCCTCACAACTGAATGAATAAGCTACATCATGATAACCGGAGAAAAAATTGAAGTTGTCAAGGATTTCATTTTACTTGGATCCACAATCAATACCCATGGAAGCAGCAGTCCAGAAATCAAACGATGCATTGCATTGGGCCAATCTGCTGTAAAAGACCTCTTTCAAGTGTTAAAAAGCAAAGATGTCACCTTGAAGACTAAGGTGTGTCTGACCCAAGCCATGGTGTTTTCAATCGCCTCATATGCATGTGAAAGCTGGACAAGGAATAAGGAAGACTGAAGAAGAATTGATGCCTCTGAATTGTGGAGTTGGCAAAGAATACTGAATTTACCATGGACTGCCAGAAGAATGAACAAATTTGTCCTGGAATGCTCCTCAGAAGCGAGGATGGCGAGACTTCGCCTCACATACTTTGGACATGTTGTCCGGAGGGATTAGTCCCTGGAGAAGGACATCAAAGAGAGTCAGCAAAAAAGAGGAAGACCCTCAATGAAATGGACTGACACAGTGGCTGCAACAATGGGCTTACGCATGGTGACGATTGTGAGGATGGCACAGGACCACACAGTGTTTCGTTCTGCTGTACGTGGGGCTGCTATGAGTCGGAACCAACCTGACGGCACAGAACAACACTTACGTACTAGACCTTGTGTTAAGTAATTTGCATGCATTATCTGATCTAATCCTCACAACGCTCTGAGGTAGGTGCATCTCCAACTTACAGATGAAGGTAACTGAGGCACAGAGTGGTTAAGTAACTTACCTAACATCACAAAACTTTTAAGTGGCAGAGATGGGATTCAAACCAAGGCAGCCTGGCTTTACAGCTAGTGCTCTTAACCACCGCGTTCCAGCTGTGAGTCACAACGAACACAGTCAACTGCTGATCAGTTTCTAGGTGTATACTCTGCATTTAAATTTGTAATTGTGTAGACCCAAATTGTAACCGATCTCTGTCCTCCTCCTTTCACCTCGTATCTATCATCTTTCCTCAAAACTTTCATCGAGTAACCAGATGGAAAATGAAAAGACACATGTAACTGTAACATAAGCTAGTCACAGAGACACATTGCTTGCTTGAAGGCTCATTGGTCCTTCCCATATCGTGCCACGTGCTTGATACACGGAAAGCTCAAGCTTCACAGTAAGCAAGAAAGTGACTGAACTGTCCATTTTTCAAGATTCATAGTGGATCACAACTGGCCAGCATATTTATTTGTTTCAGAAATGTTGTACAAATTTGCACAGGGAACAGACTAACACACGCAACTGAGGTACTCAATGTAGGCATCAATCCAAAGCTTAAAAAAAGTGCTTCTGTACAGTAAATACATTTTCCAAACCAAAGTGTCCTTACTGGCTATTAATGATAATGGCTTTTTCTATGCCTTATCATTATCCTTACTATTACAATTTAATCACATATGGAGATGGGAAAGGGAAAAAATACCCCAAAGTATTGAATTCAAGGCATTTCTCTATTATGTTAGCCATCAACTGCAGTTTCTCTACTTTAAATCTTGAAAAATATCGCACTCCATACTTACTGAATCCACAAGGTTTTCTGTTTTGTCTATCAATAATTCCAATCTTTCTCCACGTTGAGCTACCAGATCTGAAAATAATAGAAAAACAGAAAAGATCATGCTTTACATTATAGATCTAGCATTTATTTTTGTCTTTGTTTTAAGCCAAATCTGATTTTTATTACGCTTGATATTCTTGACAACTCATGTTTATTACAGAAGCACTCACACTTTTAAGTCATAAAAGACTTTAGTTAAGCTTACCAATTCAGTAGAGATTGGAGAATTTTTTCTATAAAGGGCTAGATACTAAATATTTTAGGCTTTGGTGGGTCATAGAGTCTCTGCTGCAACTACTCAACTTTGCTAGACATAGACAATATGTAAATGAATGGGCATGGCTGGCTTCCAATCGAACTTCATGTAGAAAAACAAGCAGGAGACCAGATTTGGCTCAAGGGCTTTAGTTTGCAATTCCCTGAATTAAAGGTACAATCTGAGTTTAAAAAAAGAGGGGGGGGACCCCCAAATAAGTAAGAGATAGACACTTCCAGAATAACAGCACAAGGAGCTCTGCAAACCCTCTCCCAAGAAAATAGTCATAACTGGTGAAAATTATAAAACAATAAAAGCCATTTAAAGTCTCTGGAAATTGTGCATGTCCTAAGGGCATACATTAAAAGGAGAAAAATTTAAACAAGAAAACTAATTCTCAGTAAGAACAAGTCTGTGGCATTTGAACCATGATCTGCTCCCTCCTTCCCACCCACACCTCAGTGAGAAAGAAACTTTATTCCTGGTGAGTGCAGCCAAGAACATGGTGCTCCCTCTCCCCCAGCTCCCAGTCAAGGGCTATTGTTTCTTCTCAAGAGGGGCAGGTCACCAGCATTTCTCATCTCACCCCCCATCTCCATGTTGGCGAAGCTCCATTGTAGGCAAGAGCAGCCTAGATGTCTGGGGTTCCCTTTCCCTACTCAGCCACCAATTCATAGGGTGGAAGCTCTACCCCAGGTGTGGCAGGCTGAGAATACTGAGCTCTGACTGACCCTGTCCCAACTCACTCATAAATTCACTAGACATGCTCAAGACTAGATGTGAGGTACCACACTGGGGGAGGCAAGCCACCCCCACTCAGTGCCCCACTGGAAAAGCAAAGGTGTCACTGAGAGAAGTGGGACATTGTCCCCACTACACCTCCAGAGTGGTGGCTCAGATACTTTGTCCAGGGAGGAAAGACAAGCCGTAACAACAGAGAGGTCTCCCTAAGGGGACTGACTTTATTTGGCAGGGAGTATGCAGAAGTTCAAGCCAAAGGGTGCTGACAAAAACAATGGAGATTTTGAAGGTAAGTAATTAAGAGGAGGCTGGTAGCTTCATGATAGCAACAAAACCGCATACAGCTAAAAGTTTAACAGGATCAGGGAAAGAGACAGCTAACAAGAGCCCTCCTAGGGTTGGAACAAACCTCAAAGACTGCCCCTGCAACAGCCAGAATTTAATTGGATCAGACTGTAGAGGAATTTATATCTCAAGGCATTGTAAAAAAGAATAGAGCGATCAGCCTCCAATTGGTGGAGGTCAACAGCTGAGTGAGATGCCAACAGACCAGCTAGAAGCTTAACAGGGAGATCAGGGAAAGAGACACTCAAAGAGAGCCTTGTCATCCCAGGGTGACTGTGAGCATACCCAAGGCTGCTCCCTCCAAGGAGTCACATCAGAGGCTGCATACTACAAAGGAAATAGACTTCCCTGAAAAAGTCTAGCCCAGACATTAAACAAACGAACAATAACAAGCCCTGGGGGCAGGTGGGAATCAGTAGCCAGAATTGTTGTATTATCTAAAATGTCCAGTTTTCAACAAAAATTTATGAGACATAAAAATAAACAGGAAAGTGTGACGTGGAGCGGGGGGGCAATAAAAACTGACTTAGAGAGGGCCCAGCTGTTGGAATTAGCAGACAAAGATTTCAAAGCAGCCATTACAAATACGTTCACAGAACTAAAGGAAACCATGCTGAACAACGTAAAGGAAGGCATTATGACAATGTCACAGCAAATATAAAATATCAATAAAAAGAAAGAAATTATAAAAGGGATCCAAATGGAAATTCTGGAGCTGGAAAGTATAATAATGAAAATAAATTCACTAGACATGCTCAAGACTAGATGCGAGCTGCCAGAAAAAAGAATCAGTGGACTTGAAGACAGATTGATAGAGATTATGCAATCTGAAGAGTAGAGAGAAAAACACAGTTCTACTCTGACATACATGGGGTTGCCATGAATCAGAATAAACTCAATGGCAAGTGGTTTAATATTCCGTTGTATATACATATCACATTCTGTTTATCTGTTCATTTGTTGATGGACATTTAGGTTGTTTCCACTTTTTGGCTATCGTGAATAGTGCTGCAATGAACACTGGTGTACAGGTTTCTGTTTGCATTCTTGCTTTCAATTCTTTTGGGTATATACCTAGGATTGGGATTATTGTGTCATGTAACAGCTCTATGTTTAACTTTTTGAGAAACTGCCGAATTCCCACCAGCAATGGATGAGGGTTCCCATTTCTCTACATCCTCACTGACACTTGTTATTTTCAGTTTTTTTGATCATAGTCATTCTAGTGGGGGTGAGGTGGTATCTCATGGTGGTTTTGATTTGCATCTTCCTAATGACTAATGGTGTTAAGCATCTTTTCATGTGCTTGTCAGCCATCTGTATATCCTCTTTGGTGAAATTCACATCCTTTGTCCATCGTTTGACTGGGTTGTTTGTCTTTTTGTTGTTAAGCTGTAGGAGTTCTTCATATACTCTGGATATTAAACCCTTATCAGATATAGGGTTCCCAAAATCTTTCTCCCAATCTGTAAGTTGTTTCTTCACTTTGTTGATATGGTCAGTTGATTTTTGAAAAGGGTGCCAAGACCACCCAATGGGGCAAAAATAGTCTTTTCAATAAGTTGTGCTGGCACAATTAGATATTCACATGCAAGAGAATTAAACTAGATCCATTCCCTAGTCTATACACAAACATTAACTCAAAATGGATCATACACCTAAACCTAAGAGCTAAAATTATAAATCTCTTAGAAGAAAACATAGCAGTAAAGCTTTGTGACCTTGGATCATGCAATGGTTCTTAGATATGACATCAAAAGCACAAGCAACAAAAGAAAAAAAAATCAATACATCAGATTCCAACAAAATGAAAAACTTTTGTGCTCAAAGGACATTATCCAGAAAGTAAACAGAAAAAACAAAAAGTGTCCCTAGGTGGTACAAACGGTTTGTGCTTCGCTACTAACCAAAAAGTTGGCAGTTCAAACTCACCAAGCGGCACCGCAAAAGAAAGGTCTGGCAATCTACTTCCGTAACACGACAGCCATTGAAAACTCTATGGAACGCACATCTACTCTGAAATATGTGGGGTCGCCATGAGTTAGAATCGACTTGACAGCAATGCGCTTGGTTTTGGTTTTGATTTACCATGTGAGCCAGCAATTCCACTCCTAAGTATAGACCCAAGAGAACTGAAAACATATACTTACACAAAAACTTGTACAGGCAATCCCTGGGTTACAAATGAGATCCATTCCTAACTGTGCCTTTAAGCCCATTTGTAAGTCGGTAACAGGTGCAGATGGTTCTTATTTAGCCTTACTTTACCGCAAGAAAAGACTCGAAGCCTTTTCAATGATTTAAAAGCTGCACGTGCAGCAAGTGAAAGTGATTGTGATGAAGAATTTGTTGCAAGTAGGGGTTGGTTCAATAGTTTCAAAGTGAGGGCAAATTTAGATAATATTAAAGGGCAAGTATGAGCTGTCCTTAAGTTGGACATTCATAACCCAGGGACTGCCTATATATGAATATTCACAGGAGTATTGTTCATAATAACCAAAAAGTAGAAAACCACCCAAATGTCCATCAACTGATGAATGCATAAATAAAATATATCAATACAATGGAATATTATTCAGTTATAAAAAGGAATGAAATACTAATAGATGCTACAACATGAATGAACCTCCAAAAGACTATGCTTAATGAAAGAAGTCAGTCAAAAAGACCACGTTGTATGATTCCATTTATATGAAATGTCAAGAATAGGTAAATTTAGACACAGAAAGGAGAGTAATTATTCCCTAAAGCTAGAGGCTTGAGGGGAAATAGGGAATGACTGCTAATATGTACAGGATTTCTATTTTGCAGTGATGAAAATGTTCTAAAATTGATTGTGGTGATGGATGCACAACTCCATGAATATACTAAACACCACTGAATTCTACACTTTAAATGGGTCAATCACACAATGTGTGAATTATATCACAATAAAGCTGTTAAAAAACAAAAGAAAAATGATTGGAAATGTTTTGCTACATTTTTCATTAGCTGTTCTTGGAACTCTAAAAATAAGCAATTTAAAAGGAGTTCATTAAAAAGGTTTTTTTGGGAACTTTATGCATCTCTAATAAATAATATTGTAGTTGGCTGCCTCCACTTCCATGCAAAATACATAAATACATTTGGTGACCAAAAAAAGAGTGAAAGGAAATATTAATAGCTTTCTCAATAGATTCACTAGTCTCCCTCTATGCATATAATTAAAAATAAAGTCAATAAAAGGAAATCATTTAAAATAGCCAAGATTCCACAAAAATGTTTCTCCCTTTAATTTCTTTTTTTTAATTTTACTGTTTTTGTTGTTGAGAATATACACAGCAGAACATAAACCAGTTCAATTCTATACATACAGTTCAGTGACACTGATTATATTCTTTAAGTTCTGCAACCATTCTCACCCTCCTTTCCTGAGTTGTTCCTCCCCTATTAACATAAACTCATTGTCCTCTAAGTTTCCTATCTAGTCTTTTGAGTTGCTATTGTCAGTTTGATTCCATACAGATAGTTCTTAAAAGAGCACAATGCTCAAGGCAGACTTTCCTTACTAATTACGCTAAACTATTGTTTGGTTTAAAGAAGACTTCAGGAAATATTTTTGGTTTAAGGTTTAAAGATTATCTCAGGGGAGGAGCCAACATGGCGCTATAGACAGAAGCACCACGCAGTCCCTCTACAGCAAAGACCC